TTTTATTTATAACTATACTAAGGTTAATATAGAATTTCTTAAGATTAGAAATATCTTTAGCTTTAAATCTTACTTATTTATAGTTAAAAGCTTAAACTAACTTTTTCTTTTTAAGCTATAAATTATCTTAAAAAAATCTTTTATACTAGCTATTACTAATAAAGCCTATTAAAGGCATTTATAATACCTTTAGCTTATTTACTGCTTTTTTAATAAGTTACTAATTATAAAGAAAACTTACTCTTTTAAGCTAAATAATATATATAACTATAGCATGCTTCTTAGCCTTATTAAGATTCCTTAGGTAGCTAATACTATTATTACTAAAAGCAGGCTTTTTAAATAGCTTTATTAACTTAAAATAATAACTAATAAAAGTCTTTAAAGCTTTATATCTCTTAGCAGTAATGTAGATTATAAAAGGCTTATATTTAGTATTATAGTAGTAAGATTATAAGATTAAGATTATATATATAGCTATTATAGTAAGGCTAAAATTATAAAGATTACTTATTTTAAAGGTTTAGTAAAGAAAATATTTTTAGGTATATAATTTAACTAAATAATACTTAGAAATATTATTAAAATTTTTAGTTTAAAGTAATAAAAATTATAGAATTATAACTAGGCAGAGTAAAGGCTTATTTTATAATTTTACCCTTATCTTATAATTTTACTACCTACTCTTTAAGTAGGGCTCCCTTTTAGTTAGATCTACAAGTAGTAAGTATGCTAGAGTTTAGGCAGATTGCAGATAGTCTTACGGGTAGGGTTTGCATAATTGTATTTTTTCATAAAGCTGGACTGTGTTTTGGACTGGCTATGGTGGGATTATTTAATAAATCTTGTAGTATATAGGTACTGTTAGGGTCTTATGTTTTTAGTGTATGTACCCATGCTTGGAGCTTTGTGGAATATATGTAATATACCGTCCTGGACATGTCTCTTATAACTCTAGGGTAAGGCACCTAAACTTGAGTCGATGATGCACATGGCTTTTCTGATCTGATAACGGCCAAGTCGAATAGATGATCGTGAAATTCAACATTCGCCACACAGCATAACATCCAACGGTTTCATCTTCACCCCACCGTACAATTACCAGATATAATCCCTCTACCAACGTCTACACCAACCATTTTAAACTTGATCTCCAGCGAAATCACGTGGGCGGCGAAGAGTGCTGTTACATGCCTACCCTGTGCCCAACACGCTAGATCCATCTACTTATTAGCTCATCATTCAACGTTCATGGTGACGGGCTGATAATAACCTGAAAATGAGACGGTTTTCCACGGCGGTAGTCATAACTGATCCACTCGTCAAGTACCAGGCTCATGTCGCTGCTGGTCTTTACGCCCCTGACCCATCTCAGCATAGGCTCGCACGGCACTTACACAAGATATACAACCGAATCAAAGACTACTCCCCCCAGGCAGAGTATCGTCAGCGCCTGAGTCAAGTAGCCCGCCTTACAGAGGCAAAGCCCGAGGAAGAAGCACAAGACGATAGTAAAAATATCCTCGCATTACGGAATCACTCAATATGGCGGAACCCACTGTTCAGGCACCTCCTCTCAACACCCGAAGGAAAAGAGAGTCTCGCTTTGACACGGACACTCACAAACCATGAGTCTGCCATCGAGATAGACTCGCCTCGGGGATTATTCTTATCAGGCGAAGTTGGTACTGGAAAGTCAATGCTCCTTGACTTACTCGCTGACGGCCTACCAACTGAGCGGAAGAGGAGGTGGCACTTCAATACATTTATGCTGTACACCATTTCACAACTCGAGCAGCATCGAAAGACAACTTCCGGAGTTGGTGCATGTGAAACAGACTATTCCATCTTATGGATGGCAAAAAAGCTGGTCGACGAATCCCCAATTCTCTTTCTTGATGAATTTCAATTGCCTGATAAAGCAGCTAGCAAGATTCTCAGCCATCTTTTCATCTCGTTCTTTCAGCTTGGCGGTGTACTTATCGCATCCTCTAATCGTATGCCGGAGGAGCTTCAAAATGCCATTGGAGTTGATTACACGCCCGCACCAACAAGGGGGCTGATTCGCAAGTTCTTTGGCAGTGCAGTTCGGGCCCGAGGGGAGCTATATGGATCTACCAGCGACTTCGCAAACTTCCTTGAAGTTTTAAAGGCTAGATGCGACTTTTGGCAAATGGAAGGAGCTAGAGATTGGAGAAGAAAGGAGGAAACGATCAGTCCGCCAGCTGTGACTGGAGATGCTGTCGAAGGTGAAGCTGGCGGTGAAGCTGGCATGCAAGAACTGCTTACCCATCACAAGTCTGAGTCTGGAACCAAGAAGCCAGTCAACTATTGTCTATCCAAAGACGAACAGGGCCAATGGCGAGAACGAGTCGAGACGGCTGTGGCGTGGACGGGGCCTCAACCAGTGCCATGGGAGCCATCGATCATAGTGGTATATGGTCGACAGGTACACACCCCTCGACACTACAACGGCTACGTATTATGGGATTTTGAAAGCCTCGTGGAAACATTCGGCCCAGCAGATTACATAACAATGGCCTCTACTTACCATACCTTCATTATTGATAATGTTCCCATTCTCACACATGCAAAGAAGAATGAAGCTCGGCGTTTCATCACGCTATTGGATGCCCTATACGAAGCTCGCTGCAAACTGATAATCCGAGCTGAAAACCCACCAGATACTCTCTTCTTCCCAAAGATGAAAACCCCCGCGATTGAGAAGACAAACAGCGCAACTGAGCCAGACAACCTCATATCCGAAACAATTGCCGAAGTCTATCAAGATCAAATGTCTCCATTCCGACCAAATGTTGCTTATTACGACACCAAGTCGAGCACCTCCTCATATGATCCCGACCAGGACTCTGATTTTGGATTACAGAAAAAGGCGGTTGATTTCGCAAACACCAGTGCTTTTACTGGAGAGGATGAGCGTTTCGCGTATAAGCGAGCAATCTCTCGTCTATGGGAACTGTGTAGCGCACAGTGGCATGCCAGGACAGGAGACTGGTGGCAACCGCTACCTGTCGAGGCTCGGCACTGGGAGGGAGGCGAAGTCGCACAGCGCTTTGAACATAAGATCGGCGCTAAGCGGCTGAGCGAGAATGAAGGCATGGGCCAAAGTTTGGAGGTTGATGAGATGGCTGGGTTATCAAAATGGAGGGTCGAGGATCTCAGGAACTCCGACAGGAGAACGTAGAGCAACACCACCTAGCTGAATAATAGAGAAGCAAGCATATAGTGCACATAGTTCCTTGAAAACAAACAGACATAACTCATTCCATGGAAAATCAGTTGCCAATACAAGAGCAATATCTAAGTAGGTAGTCTATGACCGGATATACCGTTATGCCAGACTCCAAAACGCCATGCACCTGTATCTTGCTTGGTCTACTCATACACTACCTAATCCAATCCGAGTTCAGCTTAGAGGTTTGTCACGCCTGGGGTCCAGCCCTCCCCTATCCTCTTCATGTCATCAGCAAACTTGCGACTTGTAATCTTCTTGCCGCCTCTCCCGCCTAGGGGAGCATGCTCATCCGGGTCATAAAATGGGTTCTGTAACAACTTGACATATGCATGCTGCATGGCGCGAAACACGGGCTTAAGCTCAGCGTCGCGTAGGCCTGCAGCAGCGCCCCGACTTGCAGCTACCGGGGCGTTGCCATCGACACGCCGACCGCGCATGTCGACAAGACAAACCATTCGGACGCCCGTGTTGGTCTCGAAGCCGTAGGCAGCAAGGCGGTCATCGACAGCGTGGAGAAGCCCAAAGTCTCCCGAGAGGCCAACCCCTGAGACTGCGTTGGTCTTTGCGCGCAGATCAAAGACATCGATGGTGGAAGAGAGTAGGAGGGAGAACTGGAGAGGTGTGCGAATCGGAGCGAACGTATTTGTTACTGGATCGAGCGAGGGGAAGATCGAGATATGGAGGGGGTTGTTCTGTGTGTAGCCATGGCGGCGTCAGCGGATATTCAGTGAGAACTATAGCAATTTGGTGTTTTATACTCACATTTCGGCCGATAACGCCTAGGCAGGCGATTGAAGGTATTGCGGTGGACATGGTTATTACAGCTTGTTGGCGAAGATGAAGGTTGAAAGAGGAAGCTCGGCTTAGTGGGAGCCTCCATGCTCGCTTGGTGCCTGCGGACAGCCTTAACTTGTAATCCCCACCAGTCTCTAAAGTCAACATAGTGAACAGTCTGCGAGGGAAATGAACATTCAGATTGTAGTCAATGTGAGATTCATTTCTGATCTCGATACTGGAAATGTCTATTATAGTTATAGTCACAAGCTGGAAGCATGATGAGGCGGCTGGAGGCTGGAATGTCTCTCTTTAGTTCAATTGTCTGAAACCGGCCATCAACTTAAGAAACCATTATCCGTACGGATATATGTCTATTATTCATGGTATAGGCACTTAAGCTGAATACGGCTTTCAGCCACGTATATAGCACTGCCCTGGCATCCGTATGTTCATGCTGTCAAAACAATTCAACAATCGTGAAAATTCATAACCGCTTGCTTGATGCAGCATATCCCACCCTATTAACATACACCCCAAATTCATAATAGGTAGTGAATAGTTCCCAATAAAGAACTGTGTGACGACTCACTCGAGGCTTGATCAGCCGTCTCTTGTATACCTGGCGCAACCAAGCTCGTGCTTTTACTCTGAATACTCATCGTCTTCCATGAGATTCGCCGTATCTTCAAGCCCTCTTAGGACCTCCTCAACCTCAGATGGATCCGTGATAGCCCATACGCCCCCTCCCTTCACAAGGTCCTTGCCGCGCATGCCAACCTCTTTTCCGACAAGATTGCGGCCGACTTTTCCAGGTCCGACGCCCACCCATCGTCGTATGCGCGCCTCTTGATCTAGGTATTTGATGCTATCCCACCAACGAACCGTATCCAGACAACCGCGGGCCAACAAATCCTTGAGTTCTTTCTTACAGCAGACTGGCCGCGCAGATACGTTGCTCACGATGGGTAGTTTGCCTGGGAATGTCACGACGTCCTCCTTTTCGCGACCCTCTACCCTGCTGGGTTCTTCTAGAAGCTGGCGCATTACAGTGACGGCTGGTTGCATGATGGGACTGTGAAAGGGACTGTCGGCTTTGAGACGGACGGCGCGCGGATCGTAGCCAAGGAATTGACGGACGTGGGCGATAAGCGTCTTTATACGCTCAATATTTCCACTCAGTACAATCTGATTCTTGCTGTTTATGTTGGCTATCAAAACTTGTTCAATCGGTGGCAGGTCGGCCTGGTCTTCAGCTGAGATGCCGACAAACTCTCGAATGGCCTGAATCAGGCTGTCCATGTGTTCCGGGTGGGATATAACTGCCACCATGCCATACTCGCCACCATACTTTTCAATTGCATGTTTCGTGGCGTCCGACATTGCCTCTGCCCGTTTACGAACGAGGTGTAAACTGTCCTGGAAGGAGATATAACCACCCGCGACGACAGCAGCAAACTCACCAAGTGAGTGCCCTAGTGTCACATCGAAGTGGTCGGTGACTCTGAAGTTGAATTCGCGTTCTAGGATACGTAGGATGAAGATGGACGTAGCCATGATGGCCGGTTGCGCATTGGGTGTCTCAGTAAGAAGCTTTGATGGCCCATTCTGAATGATGTCGGAGAGCTTGTAACCCATGTATTCGTCGATCTCGTCTCGTAATTGCGATGCCGTCGAAGGGAAAGCCTCGAGCCATGGATTCAGCATGCCAACCCGCTGAACACCCTGGCCAGGGAAGAATAGGGCTGTTCTGGTGCCGCCGCGATGTGTAGAACGCCATCTTTGTTGTGACACTTGATGCTTTGGTTGTTGTTGCTGCTGCAAAGCCTGTAATGACGGTCGACTTGAGCGTTGTGGGAAAACAGGAGAGCGAATATGAGTAGCTATTGTGTAAGTGCGACAGCACCGCATCGTGGACATCGCGAGCTTGTCCATTGCCGTCTGAGCGGCGGGGCAGAAGATAGAGGTCAGGATGGACAAAGTGAAGATCTCATGCTGAGGTCAAATGCGTAGGCAAGTGGCACACAAAAGCGCTACGGGAGGAGAAAGAGCATCCCTACTTGCAATCGGCGAAATAAGAAATCAGTCCCAGGTCCCAGACCAAACCCACGAGACTGATCACCCTTTGGGGGCCCCAGGCTTTGGGCCCTCCTACCTAGTCTTCTCGGTCTAGGTCTGGGGTTCGGGAGTTTGCGTGACGTCGGGGTAATGTTAGTGGGACGGGGTACGTACTGATTCCTCGGAATTGGGGGAGTTCTTGAATTGTCATGACAATCATCGGGACGGGTTTCCCCTTCGTCCATCCAATCACATCGCGATCGCATTATCCGTTGCGTGATGCTTGGGGTTCCGGGACTGCCCCCACACTTAGAGCCGATGCCCCGACCTCATGCGGCTTCGGAGCTCCGTCGCTACTTGGGAGCCTCTCCGAGGTGATACTTCCTAAATTTCCCTTTCACTCCCGCGGCAACGAGCCGTTACATACAGATATACGCATGTTCACCCTTATGCAACAGGTACGTTCTTTTTGCTTTTGTCATAACTTCTACCTCTTCTCCTATTGGCCCGCAAGTACAAGACACACCTGGCTCAGCACCGCATCTTAAGTCTATGTATGCGGTATGTTCATGTTTGTGTTCCCCCGTCTCGTCTCCTTCATTAACATCGTATCTCCACACCTCCCTTGCTGATTGTCAAGTATTTGACACCCTTGTATGGCTTGACACTATCTCCCAGACCCTTACTCTTGCGTGTGTCGAGTTGAATACTCTCGACCTTCAGACCACTTGCCAACCATCCTTTGACCGAGAAGCTTACTGAGGCCGATGTTGGCATCAGGATTTTGTTCTGTGCGATCTTCTTGGCGTCCTTGTCATCGCCTGTGCTCTCCGGGTTCTGTGCCGCCTTGGCAACAGGAACGCTCTGATATGGCCCGTCAAATGTGTAGTCTGTTCCAAATCCAAATCCGTTAGGATCGAATCCCCCATCACCCTCCTCTGCCAGTGGTCCCACCACAGTGCCTCTGAGTCCAAAGTAGCTTGTTCCGACTGACAGCTCCTTTGCGGGAATGTACCATTCCAAGACCTTCTCTCCCGGATTAAAGCTGGCATCCCCCTTGCTAGGCCGGATCTCAGATAGGTTCCTGACATCTGCTGGGAGTGGGATGGTCACAGTGAGGTCATCCATCAAAGGTGCTCCTGGCGATCCAGGATGAGGTCCGCCTAATCGACCTCCACTGCCGCCTCTTCCCAGTCCTGATGGTGCCGGCGAAGGTGCTGCAGGAATCTTGTTGACCTGTAATCGGACTTCGAAATCAGACCCTGTTGCACCTAGTCCTGTTTTTACTTCCATATTAATCGGTAACTTGAGGTTGTTGGAGCTAAGACTTCCACTCTTCCCACTTGAAAAGGGCAGTAAATCAACTTCATATCCAGCCAAGATAAATCTTCCATCAGGTGGAATGAAGCTGAGTTCGCCTGGTCTCTCTTTCCATCGGTTGAGCCGCACGCACGGGTGGAACACTGGTAGTTCCATAATGCCCCCGAGGTTGTGTTTTCCTGATGGGCTAGTGATATTAAGCGTAATATCAGGAATACCTGATACCTTTGAAGTGAATGCGATCGTTCCATTGGCAAAGGCAGCAAGAGGTCTTCCTGACGGAGCAAGTGTTACTGACAAAGTTTCGACGATGTCGGCATACATCTCATTGGACGTGTGCCGTACGTTGGCTCGCCTCCACGGTAAAGCGGTTGAGTTCGAGGGCAGAATGGATGGTGTGCTTGAATTCGAAAAATTGGCGCCCAGAGGAGCTTTTCTGGCCAGAGGTTAGCTCAAAGACCGGTTTTCCAAAGGGCTCAACGGTTCACTGACCCTGGAAGATTAATACTTCCCAGTAGTTTTCCAACCCAGCCTTCCTGCTCTACCACTTCACGTAGGGCATTCGGTTCTGTTGTGCTTATCGTACCTGCGTCACACATCTCTGTTAAGAGCTGTGCAACTATGTCGTAATTATTCTCGATCTTGACGGCCAGAAGTGGCGCGCCAAGAAAATCCTCGAATGCATCTATTATACGGTGTAGGAACTCAAAGACTAGCAACGGTTCGATTTCGGTCGACGATGTAGCAAGGAATAAGAGGTTCGCGTGCGTCAGACTGAAGGCGAGCGTCGGGGGGCTCGTATTGGGGAGGTAAATCAGGTTCGGTCGCGGTAGAGTGTGTTCTAGGTAGAGGGGCAGGAGATGAGTTGCTGACAACGGCCTCCCTGCGTAGGTATGCGATAGAATAGGGTTTCTGCGGCAAAACGTTAGATAAGTAGGGTGAATTGTCGTTCAAACACTTCTATGAGACGTGCCGGTATTCATCGTAAATGTGAAGTGCCTCAATAACTCCGTTCATGGTGATGACCTCCCTCGAAGTCAGTGCGTTAGGCAAGGTAGGTATAGTAGGTAGCTTTCGCTTTGCGCCAACGACAGTCCAAGCAATGACGAAACTCACACCAAAGTTTAAGACCCTAGACAAGGATGACTCAGCAAACTGCCCGAAGTTCATCTGCCCAATCAAAGTTTGCTATCACGCGGCCTCAACCTTGTGTAGTGATTAATTCAAGCACCAGTTCGTACGAAAACGCCCAAAATGTCTGACAAAATACCGACAGTTCAGGCTCTTGAGAAGCCAGAGAAGCTTGAAAATATCCTGCGACAGGACAGAGGAGATGATTGTTTGCCTTGCAAAGTCGTTGGTCAGTTCTTAGAATTTGGCTGTTGCGATTCTTGCAACTCAGAATAACCTAATATGATGATAGGAAGCAGCGCATTCTTTGGCCTTGGAGCTTACAGCTACTTTTCCGGAATGTCACAGCTTGATAAGCAAAAAGAGCTGATCCTACGGAGCAAATCGCCATTCGGTATGAGAAGTCGCAAGTTTGGAATCACATCTATTTCGCTTGCTCTGGTGTGGATGGGACTTTGGCGAGCTTTCAAGTAATCAACGATATACAATACGAATCATGCAGCGAAATCATCTCAATTCTACCAGTACTACGCATCCCCTTGTACAATAGCTCCCGGTGCGGCTCACTGCAGCCAGCTCTAGCTCCCCAGCTATTTTCTGTCAGAACATCATGTATTAATACTATATTAAGCAAGAGGTCGGGTGCTTGTTTTGTCGCCTAGCCTGCCTGCGATACTGAACGCGTACTACGCATATGCCAATCTTCCCAAATCAGTAATCAAAAAATAAAAATCCCAAGTAGCCGAACAAAACCCCAGTATCAGTTTCCCAAATTACAGTTGTGTTATTGATGGGTTGACGTTATGTCACTGGAGCTCCGTATAAGCTGCTGTGCTGTGTCGTAAAACACTAAAATCTCAACATGAAAGCCCCACATCCGTCCGATCTTTAACCAAACTCATTCATCAACTTCCAAAGCGACGACAGAGACCGAAAGGCTTACCACCCAGAAACTACATAATACATTGTTGCATCCGAATATCACACATTGAAAGACCTCTTCAAAGCCTGTATACGGTCATCTGACCACAACAGCCAGCTCATACCTTGCTTTGCCATCTCACCATGCCTATCACAATCCTCAGCCCTCAGCCTCCCACGCCTCGGAGGCCACAGGCTGTTGCAGCTGCAAACTCCGACTCTGATTCCGACTCAGAAGGCGGCGCTGGTGTTGTGGTTGACGACATTCTCACTCCAGGCGCTGAGATAACTTCAAATGCCCAATGGATGCGGTAAGCTTTCAGCGCGTCAAACCTCACAATTATCTACGTCACTAACTTTTCTTCTCTAGTGGACATGGGACTTACGTCCCGTCTGGATCATCGTCTATCAAATCTTCTCTTGCTGGTACCCTCACAAAGACAAACAAGCTGCTCTCTGTGCGGCCTCTCCGAGCCCGTTACACCCCCGAAATTGGTGACTTGGTTGTTGGTCGGATCGTTGAAGTTCAGGCCAAACGGTGGCGTGTCGATGTAGCCGCGTCTCAGCTTGCCATTCTACAAATCTCAGCCATCAACTTACCTGGTGGTATTCTGCGCAAGCGTACCGAGACCGATGAGCTTCAAATTCGCAGTTTCTTCGCCGAAGGAGATCTTGTTGTCGCAGAAGTCCAGCAGCTGCACCAAGACGGCGCCGCAAGTCTCCACACCCGCAGTTTGAAGTATGGTAAGCTTCGCAACGGTGTCTTCGTCGCTGTCACTGGCACCGGCGGTGGCGGTGGTGTCGTTCGATCCAAGAGACAGGTCTGGACAATGGATGTAGCCAACGCCGGCGGCAAGGTCGATGTCCTTCTTGGTGTGAATGGATACATTTGGATCAGCAAACACATAGAAAGCGACCCGGCCGCTGAGGCAGCGGGCATCAATCGTATGGAGGAGAATGTTAGCAGCAAGGTCTACTCAAGTCAGAATGATCCCATGGAAGTGTCGACCGTGCGCGAGATTGCGCGAATCCGCAGCGTCATCCTGGCTCTTGTTGAGAACGGGCTCAAGGTGGATGAAGATACAGTGACCAGAGGATACAGTGAGGCAGTGGATATGGTCCGTGATACTACTGATGACGACCTGTATCTGGGAGGCAACAAGGGACAGCACCTGGCAGCCGTTTTGACTGGCCGTTAATGCTTATATATAGTACCTATTCAAAAATTCTCTGGCCTTTTGGCAATCTAATACAAGATACCACAACCAACCTCTACCTAGTTTTACTAGACATGGAGTCCAAGTGTCGCGCAATATCAAGTTTTTATTTTATTCAGTTCGAATCATCAACACCTTCATCAGGTGCATTAGGATGTACTTCAGAGAGTATAGATGTCGCTATGATGCTTAACAGAAACCAAGGTAGAACTATTGATCATTTTACATGTAACCGTACATACGAGGGTATCCTCCACTCCAATTACCACCGTGACTGCTTTCCTTTTCTCAGCAAACAGTGTTAGACCACCGAATCTCATCTCAGGGAGCCCTCTTGTTTTAGCAAGGTCTCCTCGTGTTATATGACTGGCCAATGAGAGGGAGGAATTAACTATATGATTATCGTGTGAGCAATTGGCTCAGAACACCTTTCTTTGCTTCCAGTATGGCGGCTGCAACCACAAGGACGGCCCACCTGAGAAGAGCGCCTTTGGACTTCTTTGATCCGAGACCGAGGACCAGCGCAAGGAAGTATGTAATTCCCTTGGTTTTGTTACCGTTGCGATCAAAGTTAGGCTTTGCATCGGAAACAGCCTTCATTCGATTCATAACGGGCCACTGGTATGGCATGTATCGAACGCGAAAGAGGAAGTCAGCCCAGTAAGGGACTTCGGCGATGGTACGCTGATGGCTAAAGGTTCTGATAGAGTAGATGCCATGATAGTTGCCCATTCCAGACTGGCCAACACCTCCCAGGGGAGACTGTGGGATCTGAGAGTGGAAGAAGGCATCGTTACATGTGGCGCCGCCAGAGGTAACATTATCCAGAACTGTAACGCGTTAGGTATACTGTCAAAAATATTGGTGAGGTCAACGTACTCTTATTGTTCTCGGCCTTGCTTCCAAAAGCGCTAAGAGAGAGAGGTGTCGGGTCAACTGTATTGGCAATGTCGATGGCCTGGTCGAGGGAATCGACTGCCATCATTGCGAAAATGGGGCCAAACGCCTCTTGGGTCATCATACTGTCGTTGATGTCGTCAACAAGCACCGCCGTTGGCTCCATGAAGAGGGCAGATTCGTCCATAGAGCCACCGAGGACGATCTTGCCGTTGGTGCCATCAAGCATCTTCCTGAGGCGGTTGAAGTGGCCAGCATTGACGATGCGGCAAAGGTCAGGGCTGTTTTTGGCGCCTTGGGGGAAGAAGGTGCGCATCTGGTTGTTGAGCTCCCCCAGGAATTGAGAAAGAACACTTCGCTCGACGAGGATGTAGTTGTGAGACATGCAAACCTGGCCTGCATTGAGAGACTTCTGCCACAGCAGTCGTCTGGCGGCCAATTTGAGGTTGGCGTGCTTGGTAACAAAGGCCGGGTTCAGACCACCGAGCTCGAGAAGCACAGGAGTCAAGGTCTCGGCAGCCTTCTGGGCGATAATCTTGCCGACTGCCTTGCCACCAGTGAAGCAAATCTTGTCGAACTTCTGCTCGAGCAGAAGTTGAGTCTCGGGCAAAGCACCATTGACATATGTGAAACATTCGGGGTCCAGGGACTCGTCAAAGATCTTCTTGAGCACCATGGCGCAGTTGGGAGATGATTCAGAGGCCTTGAGAACAACACAGTTACCGCAAGCGATCGCGCCAATGACAACAGGGAGGTTGAGCTGGAAAGGGAAGTTGAAGGATCCAATGTTGAGCACAACACCGAGTGGCTCGAAGCGAGTGCGGTGCTTCATGGCACGGAACTGCAAAGGAACATTGGGGACAGGCTCGTCGCGTAGCCATTTTTCCATGTTGTTGACCATGTCGATACATTCTTGCTTGCACCAATCAATCTCGGCCAGAACGGCCTCGTACTTGCACTTGCGAAGATCTTTGATGAGAGCATCCTGCATCAGTTCAGTGTTGTCGACGATGGCCCAGTACAACTTGCGAATCTGTTTCATGCGAAACTCCATGTCTTTGGTGCGGCCCGATCTGAAGGTCTTCCTCACGAGATCGACCTTGGCGGCGATCTCATCGAGAGGCGTGTGCTCCAAAGGAGCAATGGTATAGGATGAATTTTTATCAGCCATGTTGATGAGCGAGTGAGTGAGTGATGTTGAAATGTGGTTGGTTGGAGGGATAGATTAAGTGCTGACGCCACTACTGCCTGTGCTTTGGTCAATGTCGCGCGTTGGGGACGATGTATGAGATCCCGAGATGTGGCTTGCTTGTATGATGCGTAAAAGACAATTCTTTGTCTGAGAAAGTAATGGGGACGTTTTCAGTTGAAGAAAAATTTGCAAGTTTTTGTGTTGATGAGTTTGAGAATGCGTTGATACAGGCCCTCTCCTAATTAATCAGGTTACCTTGCCTAGGTAAGTACCTTAGTAGGTAGAAGTCGAGATTGGGCGGATTCGTCAGCTCTAGGAGGAGTATTCCACCAATATTTCTGCGCAGTCTCACAATGTAGCAGTCATAGACCTTAAACACGACCGAACCAGTTGCTGATGTCAAAGACTATCTAACTGGGTAGACACGACGTGATAAAGAATATAAAGGAGCCAGGACAATCAATTCCAGGGGATGCAAGTGAGGGGCTCGTTGTATCGAACCCCGGATCGCCTCCCTCGGCAGCCCATCCACATCCACGTGCTGAATCATGCCGAGGCACAGTTGCGTCAAGAGCTTGAGGTTGTAGTATGGGATGGGATGAACTGGCTGGTACAATGGATGACAATGACGATCATTTGCATTGCCTTACCAGTCGGTGCCCGCGCGCAATTGGGTCCTCTCCTGGACACTCTAAAGAGCCACCAGCCCTGCTTCAGGTACGCCCGCCTGTTTAACTAGTGCTAGCCCGACGGCCGATTCTCTCATGAGTTCAGTCAGTAGGTAGTTCTTTCAATAGCATTTTGGACCAGTCCTTTATTCCTGACTTACAATAAATACAGTAGACATTAATATTATCATTAGTTTCTTCGATTAGGTATGCACGGCTCGAATTAAGTTGATACTTGACGTTACTGCTGCTGTGTTACTCCGTACTCCAAACCTTTAGTGTAACACATTGCCACCTACTTACGGATATAACCTATAACTAACGCACATCTCGCATAGTAGGTCTGAAATTGGCATAGGGTACTTTTTGGGCTTTGCCCATCAATTACGGTACACCAGCATTTTCAAACTGTCATGATCTTCATCCTTTTGTTGCTCTGTTGTCAGAAGCAGCCCGATCCGGGCCCACCTTTTAAGGTGGTGATAACCTCACTTTGAGCTTCTCGTGACAACTTCCCTTATGATCCTGCTCCCGTCAACAGGTCTTATTCTACCCCCTTCCTTTCCAAGACCCTCGCCGCCAGCTCCTCTACTACATCCTTGACCCCATCTCCCCAAAGTGCTGACACAACCCCAAACTTAGCCCCTAGCAACACCGACAGTTCCCTCCCCTCTCCTAACCCCCGCTCCCATACGCTCCCCGCGGCCTCCGCGCCATCGGCCTTGCCAGCAACCACGGCCGTGGGTGGCGCCGCTTCTCCCAAGTGCGGAGCCAGCACTTGGAGCCGTATGCGCCGAAGCTCTTCCAGGCTCTCGATGGAGGCGCCGTCGTATAGCAGAATTAGAGCATCCGCTTCCGTTGCTATGCGGCGGGACTCGGGAGCAGATTGAATAAATGTTGATGGGATGCGCTCAAGGTTGATGATGGTCGGGATGCCAGAGATGTTTGCCAGACGCCGGTCCCCGGATGTTTCGGTAATGGGATCGTACAAGTCTGTGAAGACATCTTGACAATACTGGTATCGTGCTCAGCAAGTGCTCTCTCATTATCGTAAGAACGGACATCAACGCTGCCGTGTCTGTACGTCTTTTTGCACTAAGTCAACTCACTCTCCGTATGAAGCTCTTCTTCCCAGAGGCCGGAGCTCCAAGAATAATAATATTGACCAGGTGTTCCGTCTGCATCGTGTAGTAGGTCACCTTTTGTCCTAGGTTGTTTTTTCTTGAGGAAAGCGAGTAATGAACGACGCTTTTTTCAATAACAAAAATACGAGGTTGTTTACTTAGATGGAAGTCCATCATATGTTTCCTCATAATTGCTTGGCAGTCATGATGCTCTTAGTCAGCAGCCTGAACTTGCGTGATGAAATGACATGAGTCTATTGCTTCAATAAGGTTGGCTGCCAGGCATTTCGATCACGAACATCCTCCTAAACTGGGTGTTCACTCCACATTCGCTCCATGTGCACTCTGAGAAGTTGACTCAAAATCGCCTGCCACGGCTTAATATCCGTGCGCCTTTTGTTAATATCCGCTTATATATACACTTGCAGTTGTACATGCTCCGCCTATTTCAGCGTACGTATAATACATATCATCCCACGTTAAACATCTGAGGGTTTATCTATTTATTTCTCATCTCCTTGCACGGCTACCGCCAGCACTCTTACTGGGTGTTGCAGGCACAAGCTCCGCGATCTTGGCCTTCTTCTGGTCCTCGGTGACCCTCTTGGTCAGGTACTCCTCGATAGCCTGTGTCCCATCGATCAGCCGACCGCTCTCGGCGATTTTGGCGTCTTCTATCGCTAAGCGCTGGCGGTGGGCATCAAGCTGTTCACGGCGCTCAGGAGACATGCGCCACTCCTTAGGGAATTGCGGCTTGGGCTGAATCTTATGATGTCGGGTATCCAGAGGGATATCCTCAAATGTGTCCTTGGGGTCTTTGGCCGCAGCAATGAGGTCGTCAACTAGATTGGAGAGGTAGCGCTTGTTCTGTGCTTGGTGCTCAAAGCTATCACTGCTCATTTTGATGATTTCTGTCTCAGGGTTGTAGCGAGGGCCAGCTAGCTTTTTAAGCTTCTCGGTTTGAACTGGTGTGAGCTTCAGGTCATCGGGGGCGAACTGCACCACTACCTTTTTCTCCGCAGGGTGGAATTCGCCCATATAAGAAGTGTACCGCCATCGCAGAACCTGGTTATCGCTAGGAGGGACGAAGGGCTTGGCATACTCTGTTATAGTATCAGTATAGACGTGTTTTGTCAATTTCAGTCGCACTCACTTGAAAGAAGAGGCAACTCCCATACTGCCAGTCGTGCGTACTGTCGCATGTCTCGAATTTCGTCAAGCTTGCCATGAGCCATAGATGTTATGTCGTCCTCGTCGAATTCCTCGAGTTCTTCGGTATTGGTTTCGGGGTCCTCCTCGTCGAACCAGAATGACTGTTTATTGGGCCTTTCACCCTTGTCGTCTCTTGTGATATCCTCCAACACTGACCTATCCTCCGACGCCCAGCCAGGGTGCCATTCCAGCTCGTTTTTCAAGTAGTGGTCAATGGAATTATAACCATTCTCTTTGGCCAGCTGATCCAATTGCTTCAGCCCCTCCGGTGTAGAAGCCTCAGCCAACGCAGCCTCCAGCTTCTTCAGCTCTATAGGACCGAAATCTTCCTCTTCAGCGTCGTCCTGGCGTTGTTCCTCCTCGCGTGCCCATCGTATCGTCGAGGTGGTAAATGCCCGTTGAGCATGCGGCTTTGGGCGGATAAGCTGCTGAGGCCGGGGGATTTGTTGTATTCGAGGGGCCCGACGGCAGGCCATGGCGCATAGCCTTGTGGCTATTGATACTGAAGCCATTGCAATTCGTCCAAGAAGGCAATGCCAGGGTCGAATTGTCGTCCGTCTCAAAAGGTGGGTTGGCGGGCTTTCAAAAATTTGGCTGCACCACCAAGCTTAACTGGAGTTGACCAGGTTCCGATAATTAACCGCCATTGCTACCTCTTACACGAACCGACCGACCGACCTACCTACCCTATTGCAGAAGCGTGGTATAGTTTCAAGACTTAGAACCAACAACTTATCTGACTTTCTTTCTCCTCTACCGATTTTCTTCCGGATATGGAGGGGCCTCATATTGGCCGCGTGTGTCTCGTCACGGTCGGTGCAACCACGGGGTTTGGAAAACTTGTTGAATCGGTACTTCAGCCAAGTTTCTGGCAATACATGCATTCACAGAGTTTCACTCAACTGCGCGTGCAATGCGGCCCTGACCTTGCTTGGGCGAGCAAACAACTTGCCGATCGCAAAGATAAAATTCCATCGGGTCTATCTATCGACCTGTTTGCTTCCAAAAAAAATCTCATGAAGGAGGAAATGTCTCTATGCAAGGAGGCTGATGGCAAAAGACAACTTGGCCTCGTGATATCCCACGCTGGTAAGTCGAACGTATATCTCATGACTTGAACTTACATATCCCAGGTACTGGGACAATTCTTGATGCGTGGAAGATGGGGTTGCCTCTAATCGTGGTACCAAACGTACAGCTTTTGAACGATCACCAGACTGAGATGGCCAAACATCTCTCCAAGGAGGGGTATGCAATCATGAGCTCTGGAAGGTATGTAAACCGAGACCTTCAACCGAGCCTTCTTCTCATACTGGATAGTGCCGAGGATCTTGAAGATGCTATCCATAAGGTGGGACTTCTCTGGGAGGAGAACAAGACTCGTTGGCCTCCACACGTTATCCCCTCCCAACAGCCCAAGAGGCTTCGCTTGTGGGATCTCGCCCCTGAAGAGGTCGCCAAAGAACAGAACGCCACGATGGTGCATGATTAGGGCTTTAACATCCTCAAGCGCACGGTGGGCCTCTGATCGGACAACGGATCACTTGACAAAGAGAGGAGATGTATATACGTTTCGATTTGGAAGGGAGGCATGTGTTTGGTGTTTAGGCGTATCTATTCTCGCACAGCTTGTCAAAAGGTGCATCTATCTAATGTAAACTCTGTTTCCCGTGCCGCCCGGGTGGGAAAACACTCGCCGGGTGTAGAATATATCTTGTTCAAGGCAAATTCTGAACCTTCCAGATCTTTACGTTGGCATCCCCTCCAGCACTAGCAACTCTGCCACCCTCGACCCAGGCAACCCCATTGACGCCGTCTTTGTGAGCGTTAGCAGCCTTGATTCGCTTACCCTGGTTCCTCTTTTCAAGACACCAGATAAAGACGTTTGTATCGAGGCTACCACTGGCAGCGTAGGCGCCTGTGTCGTCCCAGGCAATAGCTGTTACTCGGGCAGTGTGAGCAGACCAGCGGTCTGCGACCAGTTCCCAGCTCCCAGCGCTGTAAACATAGATCTTTCCGACACTGTTTCCAGCGGCTAGATGCGAGCCATCCTTGGAAAAAGCAAGCACAGAGATAGTTCCAGTTGGGTTACTCAGCGACTTGACTTCTTCGAGCTTACCATTTGAACTGGCGTTGTAAATGCGGACACAGTTTTCGTTGGCTCCGATGGCAACGAACGATCCGGATGCCGCAATAGCACCAGGGGTAAAGTCAAAAGACTGCTCGCTGACCAGCTTCTCGCCAGAGTACACGGAGACACCAGAGTAAGTCGCGACATAGACAAGTCCGTTCGCCGCACTTACACCTTTAGGCTGTGCTTGTAGCTTGATGGAAGTGCCCAAGAAGGTCTTGGCCGACTCGTCAACAATCCTGAGAGTATCATCCCAACCAGCACTGAGTACTTTGCCATCAGCAGTGGCAAACTGAGCAACCTGGTTTGTATGTGCTTGGCCATCGGCAACTGTAGCAGTCCCTGAATTAACGTCCCAGTGACATACCCGGCCGTCAAAGCTGCCAGACCAGAGGTCAGCACCCTTTCCGTCAGACCCAGCTGACAATGCAGTTATGCTCTTTCCGTGACCATATACAACGCGGACAGGTTCCGGCTTGCCCTCAGTCAAGTACGCGAGGTTGCCTGCAAGGCTGAGGCTGATGATGAGGCCGTCGCTGCGGCCAGGAACAAACACAACACCAACTTGCTGGTCAACCACGCTGACATCATCTCCAAACTTCCAGGTTTGGATGACGCTGCCTGAGTCGACATCCCAAAGCTTTACAGTTTGATCAGCACTAGCGGTGACGAACTTCTTGCCATCTGGAGACCATGATACGGCAAAGATACTTCCCGAGTGCTCACCCTGCCCAATCTCTTTGGTGGGCTCACCCGTCTTCCCATCGTAGAGCTGTATCCTCTTGTCGGCACCAACTGTAACCAAAGAGCTTCCATCGGGAGAATAAGCAGCGCCCAGAACAAAACCGGTATGTTGAGCGCTCTTGTTGTTGAACTTGTATGGGGCTCCATGATAGAAGACCATGTTGCCATCGTCGCCAACCGTAGCTGCACGGAAAGGGCGTTGAGGTTTCATTGCGACGGCATTGACGGACTTGGAGTGACCGATGATCTCACCAACTGAGTTGCCGCTATCAGCTGTAATGCAGCGACCGAATTGCTCGCGACCATCGCCAACAGCAATAACACGTTGCGACTCGCCGTCCCAGGCAATATCGTTCAGACGACCAGAGATGATTCCGTATTCGCCCCTGGTACTCTCGATAGACTCTGGCTCCCACACCTTGAGCATTCCGCTTGAGTCACCACTGGCGACCTTGAAGCCATTAGGAGCAAATCGAGCAACGGTTGTAGGGGCGGTGTGGCCGGTGTATTCCTTTGCGTCCGAAGGGTTGTCGATGGAGCGAACAAATATGGATTTTCCGCACTACATGGGTCAGAGACATCATCTACAGAATGTAGTCTTCTGGCAGAGGGAAGATCATACAGGATAAGCTATCCGTTGACCCTTGGAGTCGGCCGAGATCTGAGTTGGCTGACCACGGTTTGTGACTGGGACTGCCGCAAGGATGCGGTCGAGAGTGATGGATGGAGAAGCCATGACGGAGGCAGCAGCGGTTATGAGGTATAATTGTGCTCCTGGAAGATAGAGAGAACAAAGTATGCGAGACAGATGAGAAGATGCACCCGTATAAAACCTTGAATTCTGTTGCGAAGTTATTGTAAACGTGGGGGAAACGTTTCTTGTTTGGAGGGGCACTTCTACGCACGTCAACAAGCTAGTGTGGGGCACCTTGCCTAGGTAGGTGTTCAGAATGAATGAACAGTCTAACGTTGGGTTAGTAGTGAATAGTTACTACTCCGTAAAAAGTCGATTTCATTATTGCGATATCAAACTTTGAATATTACATTTTGACGTATGGCCACTGCTTCAGCAGGCGATCCTTTTCCTTGCCATAAACCTCCGTGTCACTGGTCTTCATGACATACAGTCAACCAAAAAATGGATATTTATCAAGCTGCTAACTCAACTATATGAGATCGGCTACTTTCACGCTGCTTGACGTCTGCCTACTCCAGGCAATAATGAGAAGCCACACACAAATAGGGCCATGACGACAGAAGCGGTCTCTCCTCTGTCCCAAACCTCTAGGCATCAAGTATCAATATCATGTCTATTCAGATGATTTGGTTTTGCAGCAACAGCCGATGGCCCGGGCATTAAATGGTGTAAAAAGGGCCATCACCTCGTCAGTGCAAGCTAGAATATGGAAGCTCAAGGTTGCATTACTCCAGTGTCCTAGCCAGAAAGAGCATATACTTTATTTGGATACGATTGCTGGCTACTTTATGTTTATGCTTGTGTGATCCATCACGTTCTTAATGTAAGTGGCACATTCTGGGCCCCCATCTTATTCCCCGATATGATACAGGGTACTCGTGCAGGTTGTACTAAAGAAATACGAGACGATCGAGGCATTCATATGCACGACACCTGTCATCGAAGGCTGGGTCTGTTTATATCGTGGCATCACCACTAAGTTTTAGTCTGCATTGCTCGATTTGAGTACTGCTCTATACCAAACAATTAGCCATCTGACATAAAACTCAAGGAATCTGAGCTGTAATAAGTTCACCAAACAACACGTCAAGATACACACGGTTGTGTCTGACTGGGCAACTGAACTCACACCATGAGAAAAGGACATACGATGTTGCACTTGTGCAGACAAAAATAACTACCCAATCCATAGATTCCAACCACTCATGAACTGCATAACACATCATAACGCCGCACAACATCGCACTGGTTCAGCCTCCTTGCCCCCTGAAAGCACGCTAGTCGTCTCCCCCATCTCCATGCAGGGACATCTCCCGGAGCAAAAGCTAGGGATAGCAGCAGCTTCAAAGTCTCCCGTTGGAGGAAAACAGACCGAACAATAACTACAGGCACAAGGATCCAACGCTGGCTAGCAACCCTGCCGAAATCGTAGAAATCAATGGATTTGGACTGAATCGTGCGAATCCTGTTGACCGCCACGATTTCAAAGACATTCATCATATGTGACTGAGCATCGGTTGGAATATGTCGGTGAAATGAGCTTCAGTAATAACAAATATACAAGGTACCTTGTTCGGCAAAAACAGAGCTTGTCCAAGCTTAAGCCACTAATAATACAAAAAGACACCAAACGCCAACATGCATTCAGCCTTTTGTCCCCCTCAACACTCTATCTCCAACCCAAATCCTTGAACAAAACCTGAGCAGCCCCTGTCAGCTACGGGAGCCCATGCCATGTATAGTCAGTTCATACCTGTTATGGGGGCGCATTGGTCTCGCCTGGGGGTGGGACGGCAGAGCATCCTTACCCATGCCCATACGGCACGATGCTAAACAAGACCCTGTTGCTAATATCCCCCGTACTCGCCGGTGTGATTAAAAACGCCTCGGACTCCTCAGTTTAT